TGGGAGACTGAGAAATTAAAAACTTCCTACCTTCCATAGAGCAGAAGGAGGAAGCAAAGTGGGCTCTTTTTTTTACCAATTAGGACAGCATTGATTTGCTGCACCTTTTGGGTGGGGGAGAGACATCTTCATCCCAGAAGTGGAAGGAGACAAGAGGGGGCAAGAAAGGGGACTTTCCCACCTTTCCTTTATAGTTTTTCTTTCTTTACAACTTTTCTTAAAGGAGCTAAAGCAAATATGGCCACGTGGATGAACAGATCACACTGCATAATATGCTGTATCTCTACCCAATCCTAAGCAACCATCTTTAGCTTGCACCAGCCCACTCCAAATGATCCATGTAGCCAAGCCCATAATCACACCACTGTTAAACATGTTATACAAACATCACATGTTTGTATAACATGAACAACAGTTGGTAGTTCAAAACTGGAAACAAAAGGTTTCCATCCCCTTCTCTAGCAAGCAAAAATAAGAGAAAAATTATCTGTTCACCACGATATGTCCATGTGGTACAGAAAGGAGGCACTGTGTCATGTAAAGATGGATCTGGCAACCGTGAATTTATATAGAAACTTCAAGTGTGCTTCATTCTACCTAATCGTAAAGTGTCCTGGACGTATGTGTTCTCCAACTGTGGGTCACGATATTCAGCAGCTGGTGCTAAATTTGACACCATCTATTTTCCCCAAACCTCCATCTCCACCTGTTTATCTGTGTGTGAGTTTAAAAAGCTGTGGCTCAACGTTGAAAGTGGCAGGATGAATGAAAAATGCCATTTTGACTTTTCAGTTCAAGTGTGAAAAAGCCGCCCAAGGCCAACCTCACTTCAAATCTACTTGCTTCTGTGTGGTTTTATTTTTTTGCTTCTATCTGTGTAGTGTCAGTTTAATTGCTCAGTGTCTTTGTACTTTTACATTTAATTTAGAACATGCTGTGTGCTTTGAAACAAACTGCTCATCTCAGCATGTATTCACTGTAAACCATTGTGCTGTTTTAGGCAAGTCCTTCAGTCCTTGTGGAATCAGAACTTGTACAAAGACTGAAGGACTGCAGGCTTATTTTACTAGTCCAGACGATGCATAGACAAAATGGTCTGCCACCCTGTGCATTGCTATTCATCTGTAAATCATTTCAGACAGTATTGGTATCCATTTTTTAAAATCTTTATTTGGTTCATAATATAAGGCTTACCAATTCAGTCCCAGATTAAATTTGCATCAGTCTGAATAAGCATAAATCCAAGAATTTCAACAAAAAGCAAGATATTTCAATCCACTCACTTCGCAGTTATCACAAAATCTGGTACATGCTTTGGTCTTGATTGTGCATATATTGATATTTATGAACCAGTAATATACTTAATAAAATTATGAAAAGAAAAATTCATGGTAGGAGAGTAAAAAGAAAATTGCACTGCTATGTTTCTAGCCTTGCAAGTGACATTTTTCTGTTTGAGGGTGTTTTTACTTGAGGAAGTAAAGTCCACAGTCTGTTTCAAGAAAGGAGTGCAAGAAACAGGAAGTTCCCAATCTGTATTCAGCAGCTGGACAGCAACGTGAGGAGGCAAACAGGTCACCTGCTTCCAGTCTTCACTTTTGAACTATGTTGAAAGTTATTGTATTTCTATCTAAATCAAAGTAATTATTTCTAAATGTACAATTATCCATATGAATTAGTATATAGATATGTTACACAAATCTTCATCCTTCTTCAAACAGATGCATTTTTTCTTTGGCTATGCAAGTGATCACCCCATCAACAACTTCAGAATGCTTCATAAGCAAAATACTGCATTGGAGAGAGAATAACTATTCCTCTACCATTGTATGTTTTTACAATCCACTTATCTTTCACACAAGCCCTATTCCAGCATTCAGCCCTGCAAGTGTGTAGGGCTGTAATCATGGTACTGATGTGGAGTCACAGGCAGATTCTACCCTCCTACATCCCCACCCCACTCAGAAGTAAGACAGACCAATATGTGTTCAGTGTCAATGTATTGATAAACTCACACCATTTTTTAAAAGCCAGGAGCTCCAATAAGGCATGGCTTGTGATCATGGAAACATTGTTAAGTCTGTTCAGATGAATACACTTACAAGTCCTTCTGTGGATCTTGGTGGTGAACACACAAAGGTCTGACTTAGTTCTGGGCAGGCCAGGAAGGGAGCAAGCCTAGGTATGCCCCTGCACCTCCCATCAGGAATGCATCTCTTTATGGTTTCAGATTTCATGCCCAAATAAGGCTACATTATTTTCAGAGGAGAAGCAGCAAGTGGGAGGAGGCTTAAACCTTTCACCATCTGCTGCTTCCCCTTTCTCTCTTTCCCAGCCACATTTGCAGAAGAGTTCTGGATCCATGTTTCTGCCACACTTAAGGGTCTGGATTCTAGATTTAAGATGAAGGCAGCCAACATGGAAAAGGAGTGGCTGAAGGATAACATTTCCTTCTTGATTAGGAATGACTCTTTTCCAGCCCCAACTTGCATATACAACTCCTACAACAAATGTATGTGAGCCCTTTTTATATTAAGTTCCAAAACAAATGTTTTTGGTTCTTTTTAATACTCGCATCATGATTTTTGTCCTGTACATGCAAAATGATGAATGCAACAAGGATTATTTGTGTATCATGGGACTCTATAGCAGGATATGTAGTAAAAGAAATTTCTGTACGCAAAATTATTAGGCGTACACGATGGATGTTTTTAAAACCTTTCTACTGCAGCTATTTTGTATCACAGCAGTTTATCCGCAAACCTTTAAAAACCACATGATTTATGTAAAGGACTGCAAAATGTAGCGTTAATAGGATCTTCTATGATTTGCTCATAGTTGTCTTAGTGGTGATATAGAAATATATTATTTTCGTATGGCTTTGCTGGATTTTTTTAAAAATACATTTTAAGAGAAGGAGGAGGTTGATGGAAAATAATCTGACATGGCTTGGAAATAATGTAGTTCCCACTACAGCAATTTATTACTATATAAAGCTTTTCTACAGTTTTGTGTCTTATGCATGTTAAAAATAAGCCATGCCCCTTAAAGCATATTAAGCTGCTCTAACTTGCAGGATTGGTTTATAGTGCATTGTAGCAAACTGAATATGGAAACATCTATTAAAGAGTTAACAACTGAACTCAGTGCTTTCCAAAAATAAATCCTTTTCACTCACTCCTTCCCCTGTCCCTTTTGACAAAAGATCATGTTTAATACTATGTTGAAGTGCACTTACTAAAACACAACACAAATTAAAGTACTGTACTCCACAAAAAAAGAAATACCTATTCAGTCTGTTTTGGGTAGAGATACTGAGGGGGGAGGGGCACTGAAACCCATTGTTTACTAGCACTTGCTACATAAGTTTTATTATCTTGCTTCCATTCTGATGTATGTCGTCTTATGCATAGCACTAATTTAGATTACGAGCTAATGGCCTGTATCTTTTTCACAGCAATTAAAAAAAGTAGGGAATGCAGGATTCTTAAAGTGGAGGCATATAAGAACGCCGTACGTCATTTTTAAACACATCTCCCATTTTCTTTTTGAGCATCCAAACAGTTTTAAATAGAATTTTGTAATAATAATGGGATTAGGATCAGGGAACATTAATGTCAACTTTGGGTCCATGGTGAATTAAAATGAGCCATAAACCTTTTTTGAAGGAGCAGGGTAGATAAAAGCATGCTGGAAATGCTGACACAGACTCATAACAGCCGTAGTTCTGCCAGGGATTATTTTAATTCTAGAAGCAAATGGTTTTCACTTTGAATGAATCCATAGAAAACAACACATGACTACAAGGCTTAAGGATTGATCATGGAATAGATGAATTTAAAAAACAACTACAACATTGACATCTATTTTCTTTTCAAGCTAAACAATATATCCACTATCAATTATAGGTATAACTTCTTGGAAATATTTTACACCTGAACAAATAAGGTGGAGTTCATCAGGGCATGCTTTGCAGGGGCGGGGGAAAGAACCATTAGCTTCATTTCACTATTTATTGGCTGTTGTTGAAGATGATGATACAAAAAAGAAAGAAGGGTGCAGAGGGAGAACATAAATTACTGGGGAGGCAGACAGAAGTAAAAGAAAATGTGGTGTGTGACAGAAGAAAGAATAAGGATCAGATGAAATTAGCAAGATACTTAAATTTTTTGAAAAACAAAAGACAAAAAAATCAAGCAAAAATCAAAAACCAATTCCAATCCTGAATTAGTTTTTCAAAACAAGGTAAGTATTCCGAAAACTCCAGGGAGACCCAAGGTTGCTCATCTTGAACTGCCTTCTGAGTTTGAAGGTGCAAATAGGGCATCTGGTCAATAGGAGAAAGTGGAGTGGTAATATATGTAAGTTGTAGACGACACTGATTTCTGAAACCATTCACTTACCTTTAAATTGTCTCCCCACCCCAACCCCTGCCAGCTTCTTCAAAAATGCCTTAAAGACACTAGAGGGGGGAAAAGTGGTGGTTCATACAATCAGTTTCCAAAAGAGAATCTAAATTCAAGTTCAAATACATTCATTTTGGGGACACAGAGATACAAGGGAAGGGGGGGGGACAGAGGGAGGTTGAGATTGAGAGAGAGAGAGAGATCACAACAATGCTAGACAAACAGTAGTTCTGAGCACCCTTTATGTGAGCTGAATGTGCTTCAGGTAAAGTGGCAAGACACTTTCTCAGTTCTTTATTGACAGCTGCTTCTAACTTCAAAGTATCCAAGGTGCACATGGCATTCAGATCAATATGACAAAAATCCTTTCTTCATTTAAAATCAGATTATTATCAAGTAGAAGCCAAATATACCTGTGGATAGGGATAAAAGTGAAATGTTGACATGTCTGCCTGTTCAACAAAAACTCAGAGAACTGCATCGACTGCATATGAAATGCTGGTGTGTATTCCCCCCACTCTGCGCTTTCACTCCCCTATCAGCCTAACCTTCTGTGTTGATACATGAATGCTGGTACCCACTTACAGGGATGCCAGATGATCAGTGCAGAATGAAGGTCCCAGGAGAAAAGATCACATGGTTTTCTCTGCCCTGTGACGTCACCAGCAGATGGCATGGGTACCAGCTCTGGCAGTTGGCATCAATGTCACTTTTTAGAGATCAATGAGATAGTGCAGATATACACAGATCTAGACTCCAGGAGATGATGCGACATTCAGATTGAAAAGATTTGGAAGGCACAAAATGGAACCTGATTATTGAATGACTTTTTAAAAAAAGGCCAAGGTAATATAAACATATATCTATCTATATTTTTAATCTATGCTATTAAGTGTGCATGCAAGTCTTTGAAAGATCCAGGATAAAAAGCTTTGTTTTGTGCATGCTGTTTTTGATTCTTTTCATATTGTACTGTTTCTTAACTGTTGTTGCATACTTTTACTAATTATGTAATACTAGAAGGACAATACTCAGAGAGATGAAGGCTTTCGTTTAGCTCTTGAATTTTTGAAAAAAACAAACAACCCCATGTCTGTCTTTACTTCTGAATTTATATTTCTGTATTTGTTAATTTGTGAATCCTGAAATATGCTGCTTGAAAAGTGACTATGGGGCAGAAGCAACACAATGACAAGGAAATTGTTTCTCTCCCCCTCCCCACCAACCCTGTTTCATTCTGGATTCAGAACACACGTGCCCAGTTGCAGTCAAAATCCACAGCCCATTCCTGTCAGATATTAGCTGGAGGGAAGCGTCTGTTCCTTGAAGAACACAGATGCTGTAATAGAGTGTGAGAAGATTTGCTTTAGATTTTTTAAAAGAATAAAATACCAAAATGTGGGTTGATTGTAAAATTGGGAAATTTGGTTTAAGATTTTTGTTTGTTTGTATTTTGAAAAATAAAGACTGAGTAAGAGGTTTACTACGGAAGACCTTCTATGAATATGTTTAATATTTATGCTACTCTAATTTAATAGGAAAGAAATAATCTGTGTATCACACATTTTCATACTAATTATTAGAAAAAGACTCGATACATTTTAATTAAGTCACTGAATGATTCATTTGCCTTCCATTTTAATTCTTTTCAGTCAATTCAGATTTGATTGCGATCATTTGAAGAAGAATATGTGCAAACACATTACAATATAAAAGTTTAAAGTATTGTTATTGCTATCATGTGTCAACTAACAGACAGCAATTTTAATTCAAAATTATTGTTCTGTTTCATTTGACATTAAAATAATGAAATGTATGCATTTTTAAAAGTAACTTTTTAATAAATTTCACACTCCTAAATGTTGTGAACATTTGGGCTTAACAAAAGTGAACTAGAAAGGAGGTAAAGGGAGTTAATTTTAAAATTTTAACTTTGTCTGAATTGTTACAGGTAAATATTTTTATTCTGATATTTACCAAGCATTTCCAGTGAATAGCTGGGAACTAAATTCATACACAAATATAACAAATTTTATATATGCAAATGTACTCTGTTATTTGAAGATGTATATTTATACATGTGCACAAATGTTCACACAAGTATATTTGAAGTACTAGGCATTAAATAAAAGTTAGCTGAAGATTTATATTAAAAAGTAAACTTTACAGATTGATACCTTTAAAATCTTGTGCTGGCATTCTTTCAGGTCACATAAGATTGTAACACCATGTTAACGCTACCATTTGATGAGTCTGTTATAATGCCAGAGTCCCAGATGTGCAGAAAGTTTTCCAGAGAAAGTGAAGACCCAAAGCAAATCAAGAAGCCAGACAGCTTTGTGAAGCAGATTACACACCAAGGAAAAAGCATTAAAAGATCCACAGCAGAAGACACAGAGAAAGAGGAGGTGGAAGATGACCGAGAAGAAGAGGATGAGAACGGTTTGCCCCGAAGGAGAGGCCTCCGGAAAAAAAAGACGACCAAGATGAGAATGGATAGGGTCAAATTCAGGCGACAAGAAGCTAATGCAAGGGAAAGAAATAGAATGCATGGCCTCAACGATGCTCTGGACAATTTAAGGAAGGTGGTCCCTTGTTATTCTAAAACACAGAAACTGTCTAAAATAGAAACTTTGAGACTGGCCAAAAATTATATATGGGCTCTTTCAGAAATCTTACGAATTGGCAAGAGGCCTGACCTGTTAACATTTGTTCAAAACTTGTGCAAAGGTCTCTCCCAGCCAACGACAAACTTGGTGGCGGGCTGCCTACAGCTGAATGCCAGAAGTTTCCTGATGAGTCAGACAGGGGAAACAGCCCATCACACCCGATCTCCCTACTCCTCCTTCTACCCTCCATATCACAGCCCAGAGCTGAACACTCCTCCAGGTCACGGAACACTTGATAACGCCAAGTCCATGAAACCCTACAGTTACTGCAGCACATATGAGTCCTTCTATGAAAGCACTTCTCCGGAGTGTTCCAGCCCGCAGTTTGACGGTCCCTTAAGTCCTCCCCCAATTAACTATAATGGGATATTTTCCCTCAAGCAAGAAGAAGCTTTGGACTATGGCAAAAATTACAATTATGGCATGCATTATTGTGCAGTGCCACCCAGGGGTCCCCTTGGGCAGAGTTCTGTGTTCAGGTTGCCTACAGAGAGCCACTTCCCTTACGACCTACATCTGCGGAGCCAGTCTCTCACCATGCAAGATGAATTAAATGCAGTTTTTCATAATTAATGAGGAAAGTGAAAATAAACAGTGGTCATTCACCTCTCCTTCTAATTAAGATAAAGCAGATGCTCGTGCCCCATCTAATCAGTGCATCTCTATTTAAAAACATGTTTGCTAGGTTCTAAAGTGTGTCAACTATTGTGGGACTTCTTAATTTCTATGTAATAATAACAATGAGTAATAATAACAATTTTAATTATCAGTATTTAATTCTGTTTGGATCTTGGTAAGCACTGTGAGATTCTGTTTTAACCAACTTTCTTGGGGCTTTTTTTCTTCCTTCCCGATTTGTTCAATTTTGTTAAGCAGTGCGTCTAATTAAAATTGTCGAGCTGAGAAAACACACACTGTATAAAGTCTGCAAACAGCATTTTGATTGTACAGTACCTATACCAATGCATGCTATTCAATTCAGATAATGAAAAAAAAACCCAATGTATTTATAATAATTAGAAATTATATATTATGTGATGAGGAAGAGGTGAATTTTTACAGTCTCTTGAATTTTTTTTGTTAAAGAAGAACTGTCGCAGGCATCGTGACATGAAGTTGACATGGTGCAGCAATATTTTAAGCTATGCAAAAAAAAATCAAACGAAAGTGCATCTAAATAAAATAAGTGATAATTAATGAGCTTAAAATGTGAAACATTTGCTGGCAGGGACTACCTATCTTTTCTGAAGGTTTTTGTTTTTGTGTGTGTCACTAACTTGCATCCACCACTTTAATATAAAAATTATGTGGTATCTGCACTTCTTTCATATATTTCTGCCTTTATATGTAAAATATATTAGAATGTATAATTGTGTTTTTCGGAACTTATTTTAAATGCAATTAAACAAATGTTTTCAGTCGTTACATCCGTTATGACATATTGATACTATATGGTCATTATCACTGGACTTTTGCTGCCTTATTTTTGTAGAAATTCTTATATTCATAATCTTTGGGGACGTTAGTGTAACATTAATGGAAATTAACCACAATGTTAGATCCATTGACATGATGGCCAGCGTAAAAACATTTAGGATTGGAATAGCGAGTTTTGACTAGAGTAACATATGTCTTCAAATTGAAACAGGCTGTTCAAGGGTGAAGAGAGAACTGAACTGATAAGGTGGCACAAAAGATGTTTATTTTGAAGTATCTGTGGGTGCAAATGGCCAGGGACTGGCACTTTACAAACTTGATTCCTGGTGAGTTTGGTAAATGATTCATAGAGGTTTCAGTGGAAGGTTGGGGTTATAATGTGTTATACTTTTACAATTAGCATTTTTTATATTCTTGAGCTGTACTTAGTAATATTTGATTAACATTTTGTTTATTTATTATACACCACTTCTCATCCTCTCAAGATTTCAAGGTGATGTACAGCCAATAATATTATACCATAATATTTAAATAATAAAACCACAGATAAAATCCACAAGAAGACAACAGAACGATGAATACAGAGCAAATTAAAGTCGGAACGAATAAAAAATTTACAACTAAATGAAATGTCCATATATGTATTTTGCTTGGTGTTGGAAAGATGGCAATGTAAGTAGCAGGTGAACCTTTTTAGGGGGAGCATTACACAGTCAGTGATTAAATAAAAATGAAATGTGGGGAGGGAAAAGGCACAAAACATTACACAAATATCCTCTGGTGGCCAGATAAAATTATGTTCTTTTTGTCTGGAGTCCTGACCTTTTTAACAGAAGAATGTTCATCAAAAGGAAATAATATTATAAGGAATAATAATATAAGGAAATAATAATATAACAAAAGTGTATCAAATACAGACTTTTTTTTCAACTTGCAGTCACATGTTTTTGAATACCTCTGATTCTGTAACAGTTTCGGTCTGCTCCCGCTATGGTATGATAATCATCTGAAGTTGATTGATTCCAGAAGAGTTTCCTTTCAGATATGTTTGTCTAGAGATCACTACTTAGCAAATATTTCATGTCAGAAGCAGGCAAAATTGTATTTCCACTGTGGCGTTTACAAAAAACTTAAGCAATCAGGTTTCAGTAATTTTTCAGAACATTTGTGATCTTCACGCTTGTTTTCAGAAAAGACTGCTGAAAGTTGCATTGTTGCATAGGAGAATCATCTCCAATGAAGTTTGATATGAATGTTCATGATTCTTAGAATCCAGCCCAGCCGCCAAATGTAGTACCTCAGCCTGGGCTCTGCACATCTGTTTCTGCTGTTCTCCTAGCCCAGCAAAAATGAATGGGAGAGCAGGTTATCCAGCACAAGGGCTATGGATATCTGACATTTCTGCAGACGTTTTCCATTCCAACCCTTACGTTCAGTCCATGCTATTTCTACACGGTTCTTTCTTCCTTTCAGGAACCCCACCCCACCCCCAATTTTACAAGAGATTTATGTATTTTATGCTCATTTTTCACTCTGTGTATCCACCTTCTGACTAAAATATATCTGTAAGGATCTGAAACGCACACAATTTTTCTGTCCACCTTTCATATATAAACACATGTATGGTTATATTTTTCAAAGTTCTTAAAAATGTAGATTTCTGGATGCAAACTATATCTGGTTTGAGTTCTTTTCTAGCTGGCGTAGAGTGGGAAAAGAAATGGAGGAGGGAATGGAATAAAGTGATCCTCTATCCATGGTGGTACATTGTCTCTCATTTTGTGGCTCACAAGAAGTACAAGCTTGAATTAGGGTATTTTTCCTTCTTAAAGAGGAGTTCCTTCCTCAGTGAAGTGTTTCTCTTGAGACTGCTTCACACAGATTTAACAGATTGGTATCTGAATTGGAGCCCACCTCCCCTAAATGGGATCTAGACTTAGTCACTCTTGAAGGCATTCAGGAGGCCCTAATTTAGTCTTGCCACTGCTTATTCTAAGTCTGGATCAGCCCTTTGGAAAGGATCATATCTGAGGTGTTACAAGCATTCTGTGATATAGAATATGTGGCTGCAGTTTCATACATATAAGGGATCACTACTTGAGGTCAAACCATGATGATACCTCTGCAAGTATAGACAGGGCCTCAAACATGAAAGGTACAGTAGCTGAAAAACATTAAAGATTCCAATTACATAGGTTAAGCTGAAGCAATTTTTAAAGGAAATGTGCCTGTGAGAACACGAATGGCTTCAGTGCTAAGAGTGCCTGGAATCCAAGACCTGGCACCTCCTTTCAAAAGGACGGAAGGTCAGCCAAATTTGGAAAGCCCCTTGCCTGCATCCTGGATTGCAGTTGTTTGTCAGAGTAAGCAGTATTGGTCTATGTGAGCAAACAAGCCATCCGCACATAAGGCAACCTCATATGTTTGATCCTTTATCGGGCGAAAGGTAGCCTATAATGAAACAAATAAAATGAATGAATGAATGAGCGAACAAACGGATGAGTAGGTTTTGTATTTGGGGCAGGGAGACTGGTGTAACCTTCAACAGTCTCACACAGCATAAGGACTGCTTTTGTATAATTGCCCTAAACGTATTTGGGGCTGCCACCCAAACACAAATAGTCTAAGTTTGCATGTAGGAAATGTTTTGTGCAATGTTATTCAGATGTATAATAACTGCCTTGACTTTTTGATCATGGTATTGAATGACTAAATGGTTTGAAGGGAGTTAATACCACAACCATAAGTTGACTATAATAAACTGTTGTGATCAGCTTCAAAATAGTCCATTTTAAGTGCTAAAAACAAAACTTCATTTACATTATCTTTGTACCGAAGGTTATTATCATTATTTCCATGCTCTACATGTCAGTGTGTTTGGAAAAGAATATTTTGCATAAGTCTACCTCATGAGTTCCTGGCAAGTATGAGATTCGAGCCAGGTGCTCCCTAGTTCTTACATATTGTAGAGTCCTTCAGTTTCTCAAAATTAATACAGTGATGCCTCGCATAGCGATCACTCCATTTTACGGCGAAATCGCTTAGCAAAAGCGATCGCTTTGCGATGGTCCCTATGGGTGAATTTTGCTTTGCAATGATCGCAGGGAAGCGATAATCGCAAAGCCCCCATTTTCGGCCAGCTGATCTGCAGTTTCAAAATGGCAGCCGGGTAAACGAAATGGCTGCCCGCTCTTTTCAGGCACTGATTCCTTGCTTTAGAGGCACCAAAAATGGTGGCGCTATGGAGGATCTTCGCTTAAAGGTGAGTTTTAAGCCCATAGGAATGCATTAATCACATTTTAATGCGTTTTTATGGGCTTTTTATTTTCGCTTAGCAATGTTATTGCTTAGCAGTGATTTTTTCTGCACGAATTAACATCGCTAAGCAAGGCACCACTGTAGTAGTGTATATACCGACTGCTCCATGATCCTGTTTCTGATCATGATCAACCAGATGATTCTGGGAAAACCACAAATTGGAGATGGAGGCAACAGCCTTCTCTTGCTGTTGCTACCCAGCAGCTGATATTCAGGGCTTGTCCACTCAGTGGTGTTGTCTCCAGTTGTTCTGGGCTTGCTCTGGGTCATTTTGGTATTTTTTGTTCCAAATTTAAATAGATCATCTCAGTATTTGTGCTTATACATGTGGAGGGGATTTATAGGGACACTCTGGGTCATCCTGGTACTATCTGTTCACACACATCTAGAATTGATCCCTTACAGCTCATTCCCAGCAGAGATTGTCATCCGTTTTTGCCTGTCTTCCCTGTCCTTAGTCCAACAGTGTCATTCTCTCCTTCTTTCTCACATTTTGTCTCTCCAAAAGTATGTAGGGATAGGGATTGATCAGTAAAGTAACATTCATAAGGAAACATCATCAAATGACATCCATCCATCAAATAACACCCATCCACAAAGAACAGAACAACTCAGTACTAGGATCCACACAGGCAGAACCAGCACTGGAGTAAAACAGATCAAAGTAGAAGAAAAATACACCAGCATTCTGCAACAGGGCAAGAAAACTTGGGAAGCAAGACTTTTTTTCCCTCCTACCCTGAATTGGTTGACACTCATTTCAATCTTGCATTTTCTAGATATTGGGATTCAGTATGGGCTCTGAGTGGCTCTGACTCTGAAGCCTGGTTGTTGCATTGCATGTGGTCCTTGCATCAAACACCTAGTGACAGGCTCATGTTTGAAAACTGGACCTCATCACAGCTAGTGGGTAATTATGTGGCTATCAGAAATATATTTTAAAAATCAGAAGAGCTTTCCCCAGAAGCCCTATATTGGCTTCTTCATTCAATGGGGATGTTTCTATCTTTCATATTTTCCGTTATGTATGCTCCTGCAAGCCTATTTTCATTGCATTCTGAACCTTAGTATGCTTGTACAGTGATCCCTCTGTTCGGATGAACATCCAATGCATCACTGTGCTCAGAGCTTAAAAACAGACACGGGGAGAGTTGCGTAAATCATACTATGAGGGGGATCCAAATTGGGGACAAAGACTTATAACAGCTTTTTACATTGGAAGAAAAGCTCCATTCCATATAACTGGTATATTTTTTCCTCTATGCCATGTCCCTAATCCAACTCCCTTTCCAAGTTGGCTGTTTATTTATTTATTTATTTTCTGTTAGTAAAGCAGAGGCTAAGACATGGGTAACTGCTTTGGCTCAATGGCAGGAGTTTACAAGGCCCTATTTAAGGTTGGGGTGCAGCAAGCTGAAAGGGCATAGCCAGAGACACCTCCTACAGGACTTTTATTCTTGGATATGAGCGTTTGACTGGTGATGGCAGGAGTAATTCTAAGGAGACAAATCCTGACAAAACCATTTGAAGCATTTCAGTACTTTATGTTTCAGAAGAAGAAGAACAAAATAGAAGGGATTGTCTTGCCTTCTAGAACAGAGGTGACTTAAAGGAAATCAGGATCTCCTGGTACATATTTGGGTGACTTTCAGTAGATCAATAAACATTTC